ACACCTGCCTGCCTCTACCTCTTGAGGGCTGGGGTTTTTGAAAAGTGTGCCTTTATGTTGGGCCTTCAGCAACTTCTATAACTTCTCTAAAGTTTGCTTAAAGGTTTCTCATCTGCACAGCTATTGTGATACAGTTTTGAGAACTAAGTGAAGTCATGAAAGCAGTGTACTTACTACAGTGCTGGGACATAATAAAAATATGGATCGTGGATGATGACTGATTAATAGAGTAGGGACTGTTAAAATTAGGGTGGGAGCATCCTATAGAAGTTTTCCCAGTACAACACATAATATTAATTTGTTTGTAGGTTGTCTGTGTTGAGTTTATATCTGTGTAAAACAAACAATTCTGTTCTATTTCTTTCCAACAGTCCTAACCCAGGCTAAGCGGTATGCTTTCTTTATGCCAACTCTTCCAAGTTTGGTCTCCTTTTGTCGAGCATTTCCTCCACTGTACGAGGATATTATGTCTTTGCTAATTCAAATAGGCCAAGTGTGTGCCTCTGATGTTGCCACTCAGACTAGAGACATTGATCCAGTCATCACACGTAAGTGGTATCTCATTTTCATTATTTGTTTGTTTGTCCATCCCATTCCATACCCCCAGTTAGGGATTCTCTGTGTAGCTTTGAAGCCTGTCCTGGATCTTGCTTTGTAGACCCGGTTAGCCTTGAACTCACAGTGATCCGCCTGCCTCTCCCTCCCAAGTACTGGGATTAAAGGTGTGGGCCACCACTGCCCAGCTTTTTGTTTCTTTTTTTTTTTTTTTTTAATGTTTCAGACAAAACCATATTCATTTCAGAATATGTTCTCTTAGTTATCCCCCCTTGCCCCTTATTTTGTAGGTCTTCAACAAATAAAGGAGAAACCAAGTGGATGGTCTCAAATCTGTAAAGATCCTTCTTACAAAAATGGATCCAGGGACACTGGGAGCATGGATCCTGATGTACAGCTCTGTCACTGTATTGAAAGCACAATAATTGAAATAATAAACATGAGTGTTAGTGGAATTTGAAAAAAAAATAAAAAAGATGCATCTATTTGCTGCTTATACTCAACAGGAACCTGGATTTTATGGCAACTCCAAACTGAATGGAAACAGGGGGATCTTGGAAATTGCAGAGATGAGTGTAATTAGAACTCTAAGAATAATATTTGCTTATGTTTGATTGGCATATCTTTGTATCTGCTCTGATGGTATGTTTATATTGTAGCAGCTGAACTTCTTTTCCGTTGGGAATACTTTAAGAAACCCATTTCTAGAAAAGGATTGGGCCATGCACTTAGTGAAGAAAGATTGCCAGACCTTTAATTTAATTTCTTATAAAAAGTGAGCCTGTGGTTGTCCCTCATATTTGTGATCTTTTAACAAATTTCAACAAAGAGGGAATGAGAGGAAGAAAAAAAGAGGAATGTAGGGAAGGAATAATTCAGGAAAAATTACCAGTTAAATACACAAAAATCTCAGACTTGTAATGCCAGTAAGAGTAATGCAGGTTGGAATTCTGGTTTGAGAGAAACAGTAGTAAGGAGGTTTTAAAAAAAGGCAGGTAAGCCAAGTGCAGCGGCACATGCCTTTAGGTCCTAGCCCTAGGAAGAAAGATAGAGGCAGGGGGATCTCTGTGAGTTTGAGGCCAGCCTGGTCTATATGGTGAATTCCAGGACAGCCATAGCTACATAAAGAAACCCTGTCCAAAAAAAAAAAAAAAAAAACAAGTAAATGACTGCCTTGGAGTTACAGATGAAGATAAAAAGACTTCACATGTCTGCTTCAGTTTTTCCTAATATATGAAGCCATATGTTTAAGGAGATACTTGAATAATTCGGAAATTTAAGATACTGATTGTAAAGTAGTTACGGAAACATCTTTGTGCAAAGAATAACCTGAAAGTAAATTTCATTTATCCTTTTTTAAATTTATTTTTATAATGCTGTATTATCTAATTCTCAGAGGAGCAAAGATGTACCAAATTAAATGCATTTTAGAGCAATAAACCCCAATAGAGCTCTTGGTTCATTATCAGGATTATAACTCATATTTTACTTTGAGGAGATCTTTGAGTAAGAAAATACAGTGTTTGAACCTCAGGAAAAATTATAATGTGGAAAATACTGTGTTGCTGGAGTTTGCAGTCCTCTGTTAGGAACTTCATGATTAAGTATGCATTCAGATAACTATAATCATTTTTTAAAATTAAGTAGCCAACATAGAAGGTACTTCTTTGCTCTCTGAGAAATACCTCAATCAGTTTGTTTTTTTACAAAAAGAGATTTAGCTTCATCCTTTCCGCCAGCACACAGTTAAATCTCATTTTCCTTCTTTGTTACTCCTGACCCTACCTCATGAAGGTGTTCTATTAAAACAAGTTTATAGCCGTTTCCAATCATGAAGTGCATAGATGTATCCTACGTAATGTATGAGAGAATATATATATATATATATATATATATATATATATATATATAACTTCTTATTAGATGCTTAATGTTCAATTAAATAATTTTGATGTAAAGAGTAAAAGAATATGCTTTAAAGATATAACATAAAAATTTTCATATTTTTAAATGAGGCAGTTTTGTAGTCTCTTAAGATTAAATACAACCGCTCCTGTTTTGTTTTTAAATGAGGCCTTTCTGGAATATTTTGTGTGAATAGTAAAATCCTTTAGGAATTCAGAAATGTTCAAAGTATGTTTTGTAATGAAATGCAGTACACATTTCGTGGATCAATTTTCAAAGACTGGTCATAACCTACTGTGCTAAAGTAATAACATAGGTTGTTTTTCATCTGATTTGTTGATGATGTAAATAAAACCTGTAAATAATATTAGTAAATGTTAATATTCATGTATCTTTAAGTTAAGGTTATAAACTTTGTCACAATGTGATTTTTTTATTGAAGTCAAAACAGATGTGTACAACTATTTTGAATATTGATTTATAAATATTCATTCTTTATCAACAGACTGTAGTTTTTGTGTTTTATTCCACGAATGTTAATGTTAAAGGGAATCAGGGCAGACTTAGACCCTAGGACTTCCTGGTTCCAGGGCTTTAATGTATCTCTTTCTGTAAGGCCACACACACACCAAAGGACAGTAAGTAAGTGCTGGGAGTCAACTGAAAGTCTTAGGAGTTCAGATGAGGAAAATGAGGGTAGTTATTTAACAATTGGGAGGGTGTCGGGCTAAGTGGTTCATACCTTTAATCCCAGCCCGGGGTGGGGATAGGGATGTAGGTCATTGCTCAAACACTTGCTGAGCATGTGTAAGCCCTTGTGTTAGTGCCAAGGAACAGAAACCAAGAAGGGGAAAGTAACAATCTGCAGGTTGAAGGATTTCATAGATGACTCTTCAGTTCACTAGTGTAACAGCAAACCACTCCATCTTTGACATACTGTCTTACTAAATTCCTAACACAATTTGGAGTCTGCTTTTTGTTTCTTTTTAGTTTATTTTTTGATGTTTCCTTTTATGTCTGTCCAGTGCCTGTGGAGCCAGGAGAGGGCTATGGAATCCTAAGTACTGGAGTTAGAGATGGTTGTGAGCTACCACATGGGTTCCCAGAATCAAACCTGGGTCTTCTTCAAGAGCAGTGCATGCTCTTAACCACCGCCCCACCTCTTCAGCTCCTGGAGTCTGCTTTTTTTGGGGGTGGTGGTGGTGGTTTCGAGACAGGGTTTCTCTGTGGTTTTGGAGGTTGTCCTGGAACTCACTCTTGTAGACCAGGCTTGTCTCGAACTCACAGAGATCCACCTGCCACTGCCTCCCCAATGCTGGGACTAAAGGCGTGTGCGTTTTTAAAACACAAAATTTCACAATGCATTTTTTTTCTTGGAAGCAGCTTAATTTTTTCATCATTATATTGACTTATCTATTGAATTGATAAATCAGAACTCTCTCCTTGTTACTGGGCTAAGGACTATATGACTTTTAAGTGTTACAAAAAGATACTTGTCAGCTGAGGAATTACCACTTTTAGATTATGCTACTAGGTCAAAGGTAAATTTATTTTTTATGATTACAAATTCCATCATTTTAGGAAGATTAAAAAATGAAAGCAAGGCAAACAACCAATCTTCTTTTGCTCCTCTAAAACTACCTCATGGTTTTGCCTTTTAGGGTCACTAGTAGTTGAGTCAAGTTTAGGCTACAAATAACTATGACCAAATGATTATTCCATTGCCCCCATCTATCTATCTATCTATCTATCTATCTATCTATCTATCTATCTATCTATCTATCTATCTATCTTATAATAAGTATCTATAGGGCTGGAGAGATGGCTCAGAGCTTAAGAGCACTGGCTGCCCTTCCAGAGGTCCTGAGTTAAATCTTTTTTAAAAAATAAATATAATAGTAGAAAAAATAATGGCCAAAAATTAATTTATCAAGGTCATGATTAACTCTTATCTTTGAGGAACTTTTATTTCTCGGGAGGAATAAAATGGTATATTAGATCCATAAGCCTTAGTGTTAGGTCGTTGTGATCTGGAGAGATTATCCACAGCAGATTTTAACATCCTAAGAAGCCTTGAATATCACGGAATACTGTACCAGTTGCCATGTGCCTTCTCACGTATTTTGGCATAGCAGTGGCAACTCTGACTCAGTTTGCACACACACACACCCGCCCCCGTCTTTAGATGTAACCTTGGGAAATTTTACTCGTGATAAGACAACTGAGGAAAGATGTTTCCTTTTCGTTGGTTGCGGACCCTTGCAAATTAACGTTCCAGTCGTCGGAGAACTGGCTGTCTAGGTTAGATCAGCCGTTTCCAAAAGTGGCCCCTGAGTTTTTTCCTTCAAGGAAACCTGCAAGATGTGTTCCAGGATTTCTCGCTGAGGTTGATGCCTTCCGGTGCCGCCGAGAACTTTGGGGGCGATTCTTATTTCGCAGGTTCCCATTGGACGTTACAGCGTCGACTTCGCACGATGATTGGCTGTTAATTTTCTGGCCTCGACATGTGATTGGCTGGCGTGCTCGGCGATTGGGCATCAGGAGCTGAGGGGCGGGAGGCGCGAATTTGACCGTGTGGAGCGGCGGAGCTGCAGCGCTTAGAGGGAGGAGTGGCGGTGGCGCGTCACCTGGCAGCGGCGTAGCAGCAGGTGAGGGAGAGCTTTCCTACTCCGGAACTTTCCTGGAGCGCCAGTGGCTCCTTTTCTCCCCGAACTGGAGCCAGCCGCAGGCGAGTGGGAAGGACGGCGCGGGGCAGGCGCCTGCAGTCCGGCGCTAGCGGGCTCTCAGGCTCTTGGATGTGACCAAATCACTCGGCCCGGGGCATCCTCTGCTGTGCTAGAGCTGGGGAGCCTGGGTAAGGAAAGCTGGGGAGCTTGGACCTTGTCCCTACCTTCTGTAATGCAGGCCTGGAAGTGGCCCCGGCCCCCGCAATACTTCTTGGCGGGAGACGGAACGTCGTCTTTTTTTTTTTTTTTTTTTTTTTTTTAAGAGACAGGATCTCACCCGAACACTCCTCCCCCCTTTCCTGGAATTCGCTATGTAGACCAGGCTGGCCTCGATCTCACGAGATCCTTCCTCTGCCTCCTGATTGTTGGGGGTCAAAAATCTGTGCCACCACATCCGGAAGCTTGTTCTCTTATATTTTTGGTTGTGAGCCTAGCCGTTTTAATGGCGGAGCCATCTCTCCAGCCCTCGGAAACTTGTTTCTCTTTGATGCATTCTGTAAGGGAAGCTCCCAGGTTTTGAATGTTGTCACAGCTGCAGTCATAGATTCCATCTAAGTTAATTTTAGTAAAACAGAATTGAGTTCTTGCTTCACGTTAAGAAATTAATTAGATTCCACTAATCCTCAGAGGTATACAGATAGAATCAATGATTGGATACTTTTTCTAAGAATCTCTTATTTACTCGGGGCAGTTTCATACATGTAATGCTGTGTATCTTGATCATTGCCATCTCCTTCACACTCCCCTGAACCCTTTCAGATGCCCTCTTCCACCTTCATGGTGCCCCATCCACCCAGCGGATAAAGGCACAACCAGGCCTGAAGATCTCTGTTTAATTCCTGAGACCCACATGGTGGAATGAGAGAACCTACTCTGACTTCAGCAAATTGTCCTCTAACTTCCACACATGTCCCATGCCATGCGGGTCCTTCTCCTCCAGTAAATTAGATGATTTAAAAATTAAAAGAATTACTGTGGAGAAAGATACTTTCTCCCTTACAACGATTTTAAAATTAGACACATTGCAGAGAAGAATTTTAGAAGTAAATTGATAGGTCAAAGATACAACCTCTGCTTCTTGACTTCTTGCCTGCTCCTCTTCTGTGTGAAAAGGGGAAACAGGCATGTGCAGAATAAGAGAAAAAAGTGGGCCATGGGCTAGCAGAGCTGCTTCAGAAATCTGTGTTTCTGTAAGTTGATTACATGTGATCTACGTTGTCCCAGGAGCTTGTGCTTCATCTGCCAAGAACTGTGTGTTTTTACATTGTTTTATTTAACCTTTACAACAATCCTGTAGGGGTGATCCTGTTACTATTCTTATTCTGTACCTGAGGACATGGAGTTCTAGAAAAGTTAAGTGATTTGCCTAAAGTCACATAACTAATGCATCGTGGAGTAGGAGTGCCAATCCAGATTTGTCATGTACTCCGGTACATGATCTTGACCCTGTGATTTACTTATAAAACTAAGAAAGTGTTTTTGTTTCCATTACTTTTGTTTATATGCTTATGCCAGTTTTTATTATCAGACTTCTGTTCTATTGCTAGGTGTCTGGCTTTCTTTGAATGACATTATTTCAGTATTTTAAACTATAAATACTTTTTTTGTGTGTATGGGTGTGTGTGTGTGTATGTATGCCAGGTAAATACAGCTGCTTTCAGAAGCCAGATAAGGGTGTGAGAGCCCTTGGAACTGGAGTGACAGGCATTTGTGGGTGCTGGGAATCCAGCTTAGTTCCTCTTGAAGAGCAGTGGGTGCTCTTAACTTGTTGAGCCATCTCTCCAGCTCCTCAATATTGATGTTACTGTTTCTGTTCCAGTGAAGTATCTGAAGTAAAGAAGAAAGCACAATGTCCTCAGTGTCTTCTGAATACACCATTGGTGGGGTGAAGATTAACTTTCCTTGTAAAGCTTATCCAGCACAGCTTGCTATGATGAACTCTGTAAGTATTTTTACAGCAGTTAAGATTCCAACTATACATTGATTTTGTAACTATTCTCAGGTACCAAATGTTGGTTGATACTTGTTGGATTCATTTGGAAGAGCATGTAATTTTAGGAAAGTAGTATTGATAACTCCTAAGCTGTATATGGTTAGCATATAAGGAAGAATATCTGAAGCCATTCTCAGTTCCTTTGAAACTTTGATTTTATTCTTTCTCTCTCTCTCTGTCTCTGTGCGTGCATGTGTGCATGCAAGTAGTTTGCCTGCATGTATATATGTGCACCACGTACATGCATGCTGTTTGAGGTGGCCAGACAAAGGTATTGGATACCCTGGAACTGGAATTACATATGGTTGTGAGCTTCCATGCTGTGTACTGAGAATTGAACCTAGGTCCTCTGTAAGAACAGAGTCTGTAATTGATGAGCCATCTCTCCAGCCCCTCTAGGGGATTGTCTTAACTGATGTGAGGAGACCCAACCCACTGTGGGCAACACCATTCCTCAGGCAGGGAGTCCTGAACTGTGAGAGGTGGAAAAATAGACCTAAGCACAAGGAAATGAAGATGTGCATTAATTTCTCTGCTCTTGACTAAGGTTGCGGATAATTGCTTTAAGACCCTGCCACTGTGACTGCTCTGCTCTGATGGACTATCACCTGGAATTGTAAATAGAAAATATATTCCTTTTCCCATGTGTTGTTTTTTTGTTAAAGTATGATATCACAGCCACAGAAATGAAACTAGAATAGTGGTGGTAGGGATGATCACTGAGCTTCATAATGCTAGGCTCCTACTCTTCCGCTGAGCTGTATCCCTAACAACTGCTTGTTTGTTTTTGTTTTTGTTTTTGTTGTAACTTTATATTGAATATGTCCTAATTGGTTGTTAAATCATTTTAATTGCATTATGGCATTTTATTGTATGGCTAGCATGATCTGTCCATTTTCCCGCTGGTTATATTTAGGTTGCTCATAATCTCTTGGAATTAGCAAAAAATTGATACTATGAATCAATTCACACATATTTCTTGTGTTTACGTAGGAAGGGTTTAGGGTATGTGCTTAGTGATGGACTTAGCGAACTTGGGCATCTTCCTTTTACATTTAAAATTTTTCTCTAACTTAATTATTTATTGATTCTTTGGGAGTTTCACAACACGTACCTCATTCCTCCCCCAAAGCATCTCCCCAAAAGACCCCCCCCAAAAAAAAATCAACTCAAGAAAACAAACGAAAAAACCACCTTACTCCTCTGTCTTTCCAACACTTCTTTCATCCTTGTGGCATTGAAAGCTGCCGTGTGTCATGCAGTATACCTTTGGTCCAATCAGCCCCACCAACAATATGCTGATTGCACTGAGTCATTGGTCTGGTTCAAGGTCTCTGGTACACCATCATCACTGAACTCTCGGATATCCTGCTGTTGCCCCGAGTCATGTAGATCCTGTGGTTATTGTTTCACAGGATCAGTCCCCTCAAGTACTCCTGCTGGTCATAGATGGGGTAGATGTTAGGGTTAAAACAATTAGTACTTACGTTAGTGGTATTACTAACTTTTTCTTATACATACGTGTATTAGTATATTACAGTCCCTTTTTTCTTTGTTTTTCTAGATTATTTTTATGTGTATGAGTGTTTTGCCTGCAGATATGTCTGTGTACCAGAGGCCTGAGGAGGCCGGAATAAGGAGTTGGATCTCTTGGAACTGGAGTTAGAGGTGGTTGTAAACTGCTTCGTGGCTATGGGAATTGAACCTGAATCTTCTGTAACAGTAACAACTGCTCTTAAATGCTGAGCCGCCTCTCCAGCACATATTACAATTTTATAGAAATAGTTTGTGCTTGTATAATTAAATATAAGTTGCTTATTTAATTTTTTTTGTGTGTGTGTGTTTGACGTGCTTGTAAAACCAATAGACTGTCTAGATTTAACAAAATTCCAGTTCTCCCCTATGCTGTTGCTGTGTTTCCTGGGGTGCGTCCGAACTCTTCTGTGCTATTCTATTCAGTTCTTATTCGATGGAGCGAGATCTGATAAAGTAATCGTGTATTGTTATCTTTTTAAAAATTGATTTCTTTGCCCACAGATTGTCAGAGGACTAAACAGTAGTCAGCATTGTTTGTTGGAGAGTCCCACAGGAAGTGGAAAAAGTTTAGCCTTACTTTGTTCTGCATTGGCATGGCAACAATCTTCTACTGGTAAGTAGTTCTTATGAAAAATTATTTTATTTATTTTGTGTGTGCATATATGTCTAGTAGGCATATGTCCTATGGTAGGGACGTCAGAGGACAAATTGTAGGAATCACTTCTCTCCTTCCACCATGTGGATCCAGCATATTGAACTCTGATCATCAGGCTCAGTGGCAAGTGTGTCTATACCTGCTGAACAATTAGGCCAGCCCCAGGTAAGTTCTTGACATCTTCAGAACTTCAAGTTGCTAGTTGGGACCTGAGAAAAATACAGTATAATACACTTTCTCTAGACTGGTTCAAACATTGTTCAAACAAATCAGTTAAACCAAAATAATCTCTGTCAAGACATTTCTTCAAGATGCATCATCTGTGCCAGGCAGGGTGGTGCACATATATAATTCCAGCATTCAGGAGCCAAAGGCAAGAGGATTGCCACAGTTCAAGGCCAGCTTGGTCCACTTAGAAGTTTCAGGCCAGCCAAGGCTATATAGCAGCCCCTCCAAAACAAAGCATTGTAAGTCTTTCAAGAGAACTGGAATGCATCAAAATTATTTATTAAATAATATTAACACAATTTAGTCCTTTTACTTTACCATGCAGAGTGTATGTGAACATTTTAGATGTTTGGAGTTCTTATGAAAATAAGTAGATGATAATTTGTATCTAAGAAATAGGAGCTGGAGCTCTGATGATGCTGATATATATACTAAATGCTTGAATATATCCTTGAATATATTTGCTTATCTGACTTTTATAACATTAAAATGTGGAATATATGAAGAAGAAAACATATCAAACTGGAATAGTGGTATATGCCAGTATGCCTAGTACTTGGGGGACTAAAGAGGAGGACAGTGAGTTAAAAGCCAGCCTGCGCTATATAGCAAGCCCCTAGCTCTAAATAAATAAGTAAATAAAAGATACTTATTGCTCTACTTGTTTGAATACCAGATAAGTAGAAGCTCATTTCTGTTATGTCCTATTATGTTAATTGCTGCCAGAGCTACAAAATGAGACCTTGTCTCAAAAAGTAAATTTGGTGGGACTGGGCATGTGCCCCTGCATTCCTAACACAGGAAGCTGAGGCCAGAGAGTCTAGAGCTTAAAGGAAGCCTGGGATACAGCAAGAATCTGTCACGAAAAACCAAACTTGGCCAGGCGGTGGTGGCAGATGCCTTTAATCCCAGCAGTTGGGAGGTGGAGGCAGGCAGACCTCTGTGACTCTGAGGCCAGCCTGGTCTACAGAGCAAGTTCCAGGACAGCCAGGACTGTTTCACAGAGAAACCCTGTCTTGAAAAAACAAACAAACAAACAAACAAACTCGAGTCCTGGGCTAGGGGTGTAGCTCAGTGATGTAACACTTTCTTAGCATGTATAAGGTCCAGGGTTCAGTACCCAGAACTGCCAGAAAATAAAGAAAAATGTATATACCCATATAACAAAAGGTCCCGGAGTACTGATTCCCATTGCACCCCTTTCCAATGGTGAGTATTGGACTTAAATGTTTTTGTAAATTCCTACAGGCAATCCTGAGTTAATGTTTCTGTTTGTAAAAACTAGGTTTTGAGGCAAAAATCTATTTGTAATTGTTCCATGTATTTGCTCATAGAGCTTCTGTATGATTGTTTTTTATTAGAGTATGACATCATCTGGGTAAACACAAAATTGCTATTAATATTTACTTGATGAAAAACTTTTAATTTTTTAAAAAATATTTATTTTTATTTTTAATTACATGTGCATGGGTTTATGTAAGCTGCTCACAGAGGGCAGAAGAGGTTGTTGGATGACCTAGCCCTCGAGTGATGGGGGGGTTGTGGATTTCCCCATGCTTATCCTGGAAACTGAACTTGGGTTCTCTGGGAGAGCAGGAAGCGCTCAACTTCAGCCATATTTCTAGCCCTAAGACTTTGTAATCTTTTGAGACAGGGTTTCTCTTTTTGCTTTGGAGCTTGTGCTGGAACTTGCTCTGTAGACCAGGCTGGCTTCAAACTCACAGAGATCCGCCTGCCTCTGCCTCCCGAGTGCTGGGATTAAAGGCGTGTGCCACCAACACCCAGCAAGACTTCGTAATCTTAATAACAAATCTGAAATATAGTATTGAATATTTTTCAGGTATATAAGTAGATAAGTATGACAAAGTATTAGGAGAATGTGAAGTTAATCACAGGTGTATATATGGGTATAGATGCATTGTTAAAGGAAATGTTTGAGCTGACCTCTAAAACTGGTGACCTGACTTCAATCCTTAAAACCCACCTCGTGGAAAAAAGACAACTGACCCTGCAAGTTATCTTCTGACCTCCACGTGCACACTGTGGCATATACACACATATGCATACATGAATGTAATAAAAAAGAAATGTTTGTGTTACCGATAAATATGGTAACAAGGGGTGTGCAAGATGGCTCCGAAGTCAAGATGCTCATTACCGATCTTGATGACCCGAGTTCCATCCCTGGAACCACAGGGGAGAGGCACAAATTGTCCTCTGTGCTCCACACACATGCCATAGTGTGTGTACCCGCTTCCCGACAGAAACACTGACAAATAGTGAAATAAATACTGCTAAAAAAAAAGTAGAAATTTTATGATCTTTTGGCTGTCCGTTTTGGTTGTTATTGGTGTCAGTCAGCAGCCATCAGAGAGACGTCTTCTTACAGTAGATGAACTGACATAGAGATCTACAACTGGACGGTGTGCAGAGCGAGACACTTTAGAGCACTCAGTCCTAACTGGGATGTCTTCATCAAGCACCTCACCCTGAGGCTCGTGGATCTGTGTGGAAAAAGAAGTAGAAAGATTGTTAGAGCCAGAGGAGATAGATGACTCCAAGAAAGCAGTGTCTTACAGCTCCAGCAGAACTGATAGACATATAAACTCACAGTGACTGTGGTAGCATACAGGTTCAAGCCAGGAATCCCAGTATTGACAACGACAAGTGGACATGAGCTTTCACCCCTGACCAAAAAAGCTATCTGCAACTGATAATCTGCTCGCAAAGGAAAAAATAGTTTCCTTCAATGGAGTCTCACTGAGTATATTACACATGCTTCATGGTAGACTACATGCCCAGGAGTAGTTCGCCAACACAAAACGAACTCAATAATACTTGTGTAGACTTTTTGTCTCTTATTGCTTTATTTAGGCATTTTTTTCTATCTTACTGGTCTTTTGAGTGCATATTTTAGTTTACATTTTTGTGTGATTTTTAAATGTGTGTGTTTATGGAATGTGTTTATGTAGTTTATGTAGTATGTGTTTATGTAGTCAAGTGGATGCAGAGGTGGGGAGAGCTGAGAGATGATAGCATCATCAGTATATATTGTATGAAAAATATTTTCAATAAAATACAATAAAAAGAAAAAAGTTTAATGATAGTTATCTGGGAAATGTTTTTGTGTTACAAATGAGTAAACAATGTCATCAGTATGTTTAAAATTTTTTTAGTTTGTTTTCTTTTCCTTTTCTTTTTCCTTTTTGGTTTTTTGAGACAGGGTTTTTCTGCATAGCCCTGGCTGTCCTAGAACTTGCTATGTAGTGGAGGCTGGCCTCTGCCTCCTGAGTGCTGGCATTAAAAGCTGTGGGCAACCTCACCAAACCTGAATATTTCTATCTGAAATAGAAATATAATGTGAGCCTGGATGTGGTGACTCACATCTTTAACCCAGAACTCGGGAGGCAGAAGCAAGTGGATCTCTATGAGTTTGAGGCCTACCTGGTCTACTTGGTTCCATGCCAGCCAGGGCTTTGCAGAAAGACTTGTCTCAACAGACAAACAAACACCCTAAAAAGTAAATAAAAATATAAGTATAATGTGAACTGTGACAATCCTTATCTTTAATATTTAGGATACTGAAATTTCAAATTCTTCCTATAGGGAAATAGCAGTAATGAAGCCCCTTTTGCTTAATTCCGAAATAAATCTGAATATAAATGAATACAAGAGTGGTTATACTTTTAATTACATTATTAATCTTCATTATTATGTTTTTATAGTTTATACACTGATAACATTTCTGAACACATTGCAGGCATAGCTTTTCTCTTCTATCCTGATTTGATACTGTAGATAAGGTTCAGGTAGATTGTTTCTCTTAATTTAATCTTGTAACCTGGGAAACTTCCAATCCTTGGTGAACTGAGGTGGTTGCTTACTTAGCTAAAAGGAGAATTACTGTCTATAAGTTATATTGTAAATAGAGGGGTTTTTTTTTTGTTTGTTTTTTTAGGAAAGCCGGTGGATGAGGGCTTGAATAAAAAGCTTGAGGTGCCATCATCATGCTGTTGTGCATGCCATTCAAAGAGCTTTATGTACAGCAACACGGACATGGGTACTTCCCCTCATTTCAGTAGTCCAAGCAAACTGTCTGAGAGAAATGGCTCTTCACCACCCTGTCAAGGTAAATTATATGCTGCTTTTGTCTGTTGAAATCTGTATTGGATCCTTCCTTACTTATTACTACTCTGAAGCTTAATTCGGATACATTTAGCTAGTATAATTAATTTTTCTGGAATTCCTTTTTTTAAACTTAATTTATTTTGTGTATATATTTGTCTGTGTATGTCTCTGTTTCCTTTGTATACCTCACAGCCTTGAAGACCCTGGGACTGGAATTTCAGGTCCCCTGAAATTCTTTATTTAATTACATTTATCTTTGTGTGTGTGTGAGTGTGCGTGTGTGCATGCGTGCGTGCGTGCGTGTGTGTGTGTGTGTGTGTGTATGGGTATATGTGCCACTGCACTCATGTGGTTGCCAGAGGATAACCATGTGGGTCCTAGCTCAGGTCATTGGTCCTGGGCACTGAGCCTCTCTGAAATCCTTTAAATTATATTTATTTTCGGTGCTGGTTATGAAACTTGAAGTATGTAAAAGAATGTGCTTTGAACTGAACAATGTGCCCTAGTGGAATAATTTTACCATATTATTGACTGTCCAAAAACTTCTGGGCTTTTTTGTATTCTCACTTCTTTGGTTTTTTTTTTTTTTTTTTTTTTAATTTTTTTGGTTTTTTGAGACAGGGTTTCTCTGTGGCTTTGGAGGCTGTTCTGGAACTAGCTCTTGTAGACCAGGCTGGTCTCGAAATCACAGAGATGTATTCTCACTGTAATTACTGAGATATTTCGCTGAGTTCACCCCTCCCCACATTAGTCTTTCCTCTGTGTTGTCTTCTGTCACATTGATGCACTTCGCTTCCTTATGGAAGTAGAGTTATATATATGGTCTTATGTTGGTCTTGGTATTGTATTGTTGAGAATCTATTGCTTTCATTCTTTCACTTCTGTATATTATTTCCTTGTATTGATATACCAGGATATATTCATTTATTCTATAGTTGTCAGATAATTGAGTTGTTTCCATTTTTGTTTAGTAAGAGGAATTTTCTTGTTTGTATGAGTACAAATAGATTTTTTTCTATTGTATACATACTTAGGAATAGGATGGTTATAGCATGTACATTTTTATCAGCTGTAGTAGATATTGCCAACAATTTCCCAGTTTTTGTGATCTTTCCTCTAGCCTTCCCTCAATAATGCAGGCATACCTTACTTTATGGTACTTTGTGTGGATACTGTATTCTTTTCAAATCAAAAGTCTGTGGTAACTCTTAATTGAGCAAATTTGTTGATTGTCGGCTGACTTTTCTTTCCCACTTGCCAGTTCTCAAATAACTGACACAGAGATTTAATATATAAATTATAAACGTTCGGCCCATAGCTCAGGCTTATTACTAACTAGCTCTAACAATTTAACCCATTTCATTTTTCTTTTCTTTTTCTTTTATTTTTGGTTTTTCGAGACAGGGTTTCTCTGTGTAGCTTTGGAGCCTATCCTGGCACTCGATTTGTAGACCAGGCTGGCCTCAAACTCACAGAGATCCACCTGCCTCTGCCTCCTGAGTGCTGGGATTAAAGGCTTGTGCCACCAACTCCTGGCTCGTTTTTCTTTTTATTTTATGTGCATTGAAGGTGTCAGATCTTGGGAGTTACAGACAGTTGTGAGCTGCCATGTGGGTGCTGAGAATTGAACCCGGGTCCTTTGGAAGAGCCACTGAGACATCTCTCCAGCCCAATCCATTTCTATTAATCTATGTATTGCCACATGGGCTTGTGGCTTTACCTGTCCTCCAGCATGTCTTACTCCCTTATGTCTCTTGGCAACCTCTTTGACTCCATCCTTCCTCCCAAAGTCCTTAGTTTGGTTTTCCTGCCTAACCTTATCCTGTCCAACTATTGGCTAGTCAGCTTCCCCATCCCCCATCCGAGACAGGGTTTCTCCAGGCTTTGGAGGCTATCCTGGAACTAGCTCTTGTAGACCAGGCTGTTATTGAACTCAGAGAGATCTGTCTGCCTCTGCCTCTTGAGTGCTGGAATTAAAGGCGTATACCACCACCGCCCAGCAGTCAGCTTCTTTATTAAACCAATTACAGTGACATATACTCACATAGTGTAAAGGAATATTCCACATTTGATGCCATTTTTTTTCTAAAAGCATTTTTTTTTTAAAGCAGTAAGGTGTTTTTTAAAATAAGGCATTACCTCTGCCTCTGAGGTTAAAGATATGCATCAAGATATCCAGCAAGATATTTAAAAAAAAAACTTTTTATTGCCCAATTTACTTTTTACCATAAATACAAAAACATTTCAAGAAACATGCATTTAATAGGGCTCATGTTCTATACGGTATACTCTATTACCTGGTTTTAGAAATACAATTGTAAGGGCTGGAGTGTCACTCAGCTGGTAGAGCAGTTGTCTGGCATGTGAGAAGCTTTAGACTCAATCTTTAATACAAAGGATGCTGACAAAATATGCAAATTGAGCCCCTCAAGACACAATCAATGTTATTTCACTTCTATGAAAACCTTACCATTCCTGTCCTGCTGAGTGTCATCATGTTCTTTAGACTAAAAGTGCTCACATGGTGACTCACAACCCTGTGTAAACCTGGTTAAGGGAATCCCACACTTCCTTCTGGCCTTTACAAGCACTGCATTCATGTGGTACAAATATACAGACAAAGCACTCTTACACATAATGTTTAAATAAACGAAGCCTTAAAAAAAGACTAGGAACTGTACCAAAAACAATGTAGTTCAGAAAATTAACCTACCATGTACTAAGAAAGAATAATAAGCTCAATACAAAACAATAAAAATCATATTATGGCATATAAAGAAAACTTCTGTCTTCATTTTTTTTGTTGTTGTTTTTAATGGGTTTTATGGAAAAGTCTTTTGGATCATGGAAGAGCTGGGTCTTTGATCCCTGTTGTTGAACTATTAAAGTAAAATGGCAAATCTCTTGCACCCAAGTTCTACAAATTATTAACTTTGTAATATTGACCATTTCTTTAAAATTCACTTTGGCAAAATGGGAATAATTTTTATAATTTAGTAGTTAAGAGGTTTTTGATGGCTTTAAGGCTGAGCTTTCAGAGTTGTGAGATTAAGGCACGAGTTTTATTCTGTGAGTGTCTTTAGTCTAAAGAACATGATGAAGCTCAGCAGGACAGGAATGTTAAGGTTTTCATAGAAATGAAATAATATTGATTGTGTCTTGAGGGACTCAATTTGCATATTTTGTCAGCATCCTTTGTATTAAAGATTGAGCCTAAAGCTTCTTACATGCCAGACAACTATTCTACCAGCTGAGCGACACTCCAGCCCTTACAATTGTATTTCTTTTTTTTTTTTTTTTTTTTGGTTTTTTGAGACAGGGTTTCTCTGTGTAGCTTTGGAGCCTATCCTGGCTCTCACTCAGGAGACCAGGCTGACCTCAAACTCACAGAGATCCACCTGCCTCTGCCTCTGGAGTGCTGGGATTACAGGCTTGCGCCACCAATGCCCGGCCACAGTTGTATTTCTTAAACCATGTAATAGAGTATACCGTATAGAACATGAGCCCTATTAAATGTATGTTTCTTGAAATGTTTTTTGTATTTATGGTAAAAAATAAATTGGATAATAAAAAGTTTTTAAAAAATATCTTGCTGGATGTCTTGATGTATATCTTTAATCTCAGAGGCAGAAGTAAGTGGATTTCTTTGAGTTTGAGGCTAGTCTAGTCTAAATAGGAAGTTCCAGGCCAGCCAGGATAGTGAGACTGTGTCTCAATCAATCAGCCAATGGAAAAAAAATCATAGGTTTAAACTGTGTTATTAAATTTACATTTATATTTAATGTCTTAAATATTTGTTTTCTTCTGAAATTCCTTAGAATAAGTTCTTTGTAATATTTTTATTATAAATTTACCATATTTATTGTAAAATTACTTTTTATATAAGATTCTCCTGAAAAAAATACTCTGGCTGCAAAGTTATCTGCCAAGAAACAGGCATCTAAACACAGAGATGAAGATGATGATTTTCAAATGGAGAAGAAAAGAATCCGACCCTTAGAAACTGCACAGCAGGTAAGCAGTTTATTGACTGTTAAAATATTTTATCTAGTTATCTAGTTAGGCATAGCTGAATGTGAAGTTGGTGGCACTGGTAGAGAATAGTTGTGTCATAGCTACAAAGTAAATGGTCGTTTTCATTTTGTTGTTATTGCTGCCAAGGAAGTTGTTAGTGTAGCTGGTTGTTTACACTAATATAATGCAACTGCATGATGTTTTCTTTTTCTCTTTTAAGATTTTATTTATTTATTATGTATACAGTAATCTGCATGCATGCTTGCACACCAGAAAAGGGCACCAGATCCATTACAGATGGTTGTGAGCCACCAAGTGGTTGCTGGGAATTGAACTGGGTTCCTCTGGAAGAGCAGTCAGTGCTCTTAATCTCTGAGCCATCTCGCCAGCCCCGTGTGATGTTTTCTTATACATGAATAATTTGATGGTATTTACTTAAAGCATAGCCTAAACATATAGCAACTTTATAATTTTTCAGAATTATTAATTTTCAAAATTACTAATATAATTCATTATAAAATAATAGGTTTCATGATGACATTTTTATTCATGGATATTATATGCTTTGAACATAGTGACATTCTCCTATTCTTCCCACTCTGTTGGTCTCCTTTTCCCAAACAGCTTATTTTCTGCTTTCTCATCTGATTTTTTTTTTTTTTTTATTAAACTAGATCTTTCATATGAGAAAGTGTTAAAAATGTAGAGTGCTTTGTGACTCTTTGGCCATTCTTGTACAGAGGCCACACTATTTTATATTGTTACAGTTTTAGCATCTATGCTGTTGAAGAGTATTGTACTTACAATTTTCTTTTAATGTGTGTGAATGTTTTGCCTACATGTGTGTATGTGTACCATGTGCATGCCTGATGCCAGCAGAGGTCAGTAGAGGTTGTTGGATCCCCTGGAACTGGAGTTATAGATGCTTGTGAGCTACCATGTAGGTGCTGGGAAAGTGTTCTTACCTGCTAAGCCATCTCTCCAGCCCCATTATTGTACTTTTAAAACTCTTCAATACTTTCTACCAAATTATAGCATTTTCTTTTGGTTCAAATACCTTTGATAGAGATTTTCACACTATAGATAATTTTGGTGTTGTTATTGTAAGTGGAATTACAAAGTTTACTCTTATTTATGGGGATTTAATGTTGTTTTAGTGGTGTTCTTGGTGTTTGTGTGTGTGTGCCTGCACAGGTATTGAACCCAGGTCCTCCAGCATGCTAAGCAAATACTCTTTCCCACTGAATTTATAATCCAGTCACTTAATTTGAGAAAGGATCTTTCTGAGTTGCCCAGACTGATTTTAGCCTTCCTTGGCTTTCTGCATAGTGAGATTGCAAGCATGCAGAACCCATATGCCTGGCTACTTACTGCAGTTTTTTTTTTTTTTTTTTTTTAAGATTTATTTGTTATGTATACAGTGCTCTGCCTGCATGTATCCCTGCATGCCAGAAGAGGGCATCAGATCTCATTATAGATAGTTGTGAGCCACCATGTGGTTGCTGGGAATTGATTGAACTCAGGACCTCTGAAAGAGCAGCCAGTGCTCTTAACCTCTGAGCCATCTCTCCAGCCCACTGAGTTTTTAAGATCAATGCATGATAAGTCATGACTATTTCTAAAACTTATTTAAAGAACTGAATCACCAGATACATCATATGGAATGTAACATAGAAGAACACAGACTTTTTGAAATGTATGCCACAGAGATAGGGAGATTGGGAATTTAATACACTTAGTTATAAATACAGAAGAGGGATTATTAATTAACATGCCACTTATGTAAATAATTGAGTACTTTCACATGGCTATATTTAAATTCCTTGTGTTCTAGTTTTACACAGTTTAAAATCTACCAACAATTTCTGCAATTAAATCTTGTTTTTAGAAATAGAATAAACTAGCTTATTTTTGTAAAAGTACCAATTATAAATGAAGCTAGAATCTAGAATGTGGCTTAATTATTAATGTTTTTTTCCATTTAGGTATGTGTTTTGGCTTTGCTGTAATGCTGTATTTTTTTTCTACATGGTGTGACAATTTTATAGGAAGATCATTGTAATACAGTACATTTTTTTGTAATAAAATAATTTTTATGCATTAATACTTGATTAGGACACAAGAATTGTTACGATATATTCTCTTTGACTTTATTGGTGTTATAAGGTTTCTATTTGTCTTTTTAAGACTTTACTTTTTTTTTAAAGATTTATTTATTTATTATATATACAATGTTCTGTCTGCATGTATCCCTGCAGGCCAGAAGAGGGCATCAGATTTCATTACAGATGGTTGTGAGCCATTATGTGGTGGCTGGGAATTGAACTCAGTACCTCTGGAAGACCAGCTAGTGTTCTTAACCATTGAGCCAATTCTCCAGCTTCAAGATTTTATTATTACTAATTAGAACTTGCCTTTTGAAGGAAGAAGAGGGAAGGTAGAAACATCCACAGTCTAGCTGTTCTTCATCTGGTTCTGTTTATAGATGAGAAAACGTCATTGTTTGGAAAAGGATGTCCACCATTTGGATGCACGGGTAGCTTCGGAAAAGAAAGTAAAACCTGAGTCTCCTGTAGGAAAGACAAGCTCCTCTTTCCAAAATGTACGTATTATGCCTTTGCTTAGTTTAAAGAAGGAAAATAGGGAATTTTCTAAGTCTATTTTGAAAGTAAAGAAAGAGTAGCATGGTTTGAGTAACAGAAGAGCTCAAATTCCTAAACAACTCCACTGTATTTGTGCTCACTAATGTGTGAGATGTAAATCCTCTCCTCTCTGTCTGTCTCAGTTTCTCCTTTATAATGTGAATTAAAGTACTAAAGGGTATCTGAATTAAAGTACTAAAAGGGTATCTGAAATTTCTTTGTTTTGTTGTTGGTTTTTTTTGCGGGGGGGGGGGGTTTCGAGACAGAGTTTCTCTGTGTAGCTTTGGAGCCTATCCTGGCGCTCGCTCTGTAGACCACGCTTGTCTCGAACTCATAGAGATCTGCCTGCCTCTGCCTCCCGAGTGCTGGGGTTAAAGGCGTGCACCACCAATGCCTGGCTCCTGAAATTTCTTTTTTGTTGTTGTTTTCTCTTTTGATTTTATTGTTTCCCAAAACTTATAAAAAGTTTTTTCTTTGTATTGGAGTTCAGGATGGCTCTAGAACTTCTTAAATGCTAGGCAAGTGCTCTACCACTGACCTACATACAACTTTAGCTCTCTGTCTTACCTTGAAGAGCCTGAATTAAACACAACTCTTATTTGTGTATATATCCTTAATTTTTTTTAAAACTCTTGGTACAGTACCTAACTTTCCTATTTGCTAAATATAGATACAAGTGTCTGTCTCACAGGACAGGCGTGAGGGTTAAATCATTACAGAGATGTCAGTGTATTTTGGAGCTGAGGTGGTACATAGGAGAAGACACAGTAGCAGCAGTGTGCTTGTTGACTAACCATTATCTTCAGTGCCTAGGGTTAGGGTTGTA